ATTCATGTAAGCATTTAGAGATATAAAATTTCCCCTAAGAACTGCTTTAGCTGCATCCCATAAGGTATTTTTTTTTAAAGGCAGTTGGGGTTAAGTGACTTACCCAGGGTCACACAGCTAGTAAGTGTCGCGTGTTTGGTATGAGACCACATTTGAACTCAGGTCCTCCCAGGTTCAGGGCTAGTGCTCTATCCACATCCCATAAGTTTTAATATGTTGTCTCATTATTGTCATTCTCTTTGATGAAATTATCGATTGTTTCTATAATTTCTTGTTTGACCCACTCATTTTTTAGGATTAAATCATTTAGTTTCCAATTAGTTTTTAGCCTATCTTTCCATGGCCCTTTATTCCACACAATTTTTATTGCATCATGTTCTAAAAAGTATGCATTTAATATTTCTGCCTTTCTGCATTTGATTGTGAGGTTTTTATGTCCTAAGACATGGTCATTTTTTGTGTAGGTGCCATGTACCACTGAAAAAAAGGTGTATTCCTTTCTATCCCCATTCTTTTCTCCAGTTTTCTCCATAGGTCTTTCATATCTAAGTTTTTAAAAATTCTATTCACCTTCTTAACTTCATGTTTATTTTATGATTAGATTTATCTAGTTCTGAGAGGGGGAGGTTGAGGTCACCCACTAGTATAATTTTGTTGTCTATTTCTTCCTGTAACTCACTTAACTTCTCCTCTAAGAATTTGGATGCTATACCACTTGGTGCATATATGTTTAGTATTGATATTACTCCGTTGTCAGTGGTACCTTTTAGCAGGATGTAGTTTCCTTCCTTGTCTCTTTTAATTAGATATAATTTTGCTTTTGCCTTGTCTGAGATCAGGATTGCTACCCCTGCTTTTTTTTTTTACTTCAGCTATAGCGTAATATATTCTGCTCCAGCCTTTTACCTTTACTCTCTGTGTCTGTTTCATATGTGTTTCTTGTAAACAACATATTGTAGGAGTCTGGTTTGGTTTTGTTTTTGTTGGTTAGGCAATGGGGTTAAGTGACTTGCCCACAGTCGCACAGCTAGTAAGTGTTATGTGTCTGAGGCCGGATTTGAACTCAGGTTCTCTTGAATCCAGGGCTGGTACTATATCCACTGTGCCACCTAGCTGCTCCTTAAGATTCTGGTTTTTAATCTACTCTGCTATCCGCTTCTGTTTTATGGGAAAGTTCATCCCATACACATTCACAGTTATGATTACTAACTACATTTCCCTCCATCCTGTTGTTCCTCCTGTTTATACGTTTCTGTCCCTTTTCACCCTGTCCCTCCTCACCAGTGTTTTGCTTCTGACCACCACCTCCCTCAATCTGCCCTTCCTTCTGTCAGCCTCCCTTCCCCTAACCCCCAACTTCCCTATAGGGAAAGATAAATTTCTATACCCAACTAAGTGTGTATGTTATTCCCTCTTTGAACCAAATGCAATCACTGCTTACCCCCATCCCTTCTTTCCATCTACTGTAATAGGTCTTTTGCACCTCTTCATGTGATGTAATTTACCCTCTTCTGCCTCCTTTTTTCACTCCTTAATTTTTTTCATATCATCACATCAAAGTCAACTTATGCCCATACCCTCTATCTATGTATACTCCTTCTAACTGCCATAATAGAGATAGAGTTCTTAAGAATTACAAGTATCATATTCCTATTTAGCAGTGTAAATAGTTTAATCTTATTGAATGACATTGCATGACATATGCTTCTCTTGAGTCTTGTATTTGAAGGTTGAATTTTCTGTTCAGCTTGGTCTTTTTATCAGCAAAGTGTGAAAGTCCCCTATTTCATTGGATGTCTATCTTTTCCTCTGAAAGATTATGCTCAGTTTTGCTGGGTAGTTGATTCTTGCTTGTAATCCAAGCTTCTTTGCCTTCCAGTATATCATATTCTAAGCCTTCCAGTCCTTTAATGTAGAAACTGCTAAGTCCTGTGTAATCCTGACTGTAGTTCCTTGATGTTTGAATTGTTTCTTTCTGGCTGTTTACAGTATTTCCTCTTTAGCCTGATAATTCTGGGATTTGGCTACAATATTCCTTGCAGTTTTCATTTTGGGATCTCTTTCAGGAAGTGATTGGTAGATTCTTTCAATGACTATTTTACCCTCTGGTTCTAGGATATCAGGGCAGTTTTCCTTGAAAGATGTTGTCCAGGCTCTTTTTTGATCATGGCCTTTAGGTAGTCCAATAATTCTTAAGTTATCTCCCCTGGATTTATTTTCCAGGTCAGTTGTTTTTCCAATGAGGTATTTTTTATTTTTTCATTCTTTTGATTTTGTTTGTCTCATTGAGACATTAACTTCCACTTGCCCAATTATAATTTTTAAGGAATTATTTTCTTCAGTTAGCTTTTGTGCCTCCTTTTCCTTTGGCCAATTCTACTTTTAAAAGAGTTGTTTTCTTCAGCCAGTTTTTGTCCTTCCTTTTCCAAGCTGTTGACTTTTTTTTTTCATAATTCTGCATACCTCTCATGTCTTTTCCCAGTTTTTCTTCTACCTCTCTTACTTGATGTTTAAAATCCTTTTTAAGCTCTTCCAAGAGGACTTTTTGGGCTTGAGACCAATTCATATTCCCTTTTGAGGCATCACACGTAAGACATTTTGACATTGTTGTCCTCTTCTGAGTTTGTTTTGGTCTCCCTGTCATCATAGTAGCTTTCTATGATCAGGGGGTCTTTTCCATTTTGTGCTCATTTTTCAGCTTATTTCTTGGCTTTTAAAGTTGAGCTCTGCTCCTGGAGGACAGGGACACTGGCCCAAGCTTGGTCACTGGCTTTCCACGCTGGGGATTCAGGTGCTTGTGGCTTGCCCAGCATCCTGGGGTGTCCTGGCCTGGTTGTGCTTGTTGTGCCAGGGTTCTGAGTCTCACATTTTGCCTTCTGCAGTGGGACTGGAGTCCTCACAGCTGGCCTGCTGAGCCAGGGCCAACAGGCCTTTGTTGTTGATCTGTGCTGTGGCTAAAAGCCTCCCACTGGCTTGCCTGGACATTGTCTGCACTGGGCTGTGCTCTCCTTTTGCCCCAGTGCAACAGACCTTTCCTGAAGTCCTTCTAAGTTATCTTAAGCTGGAAAATTGTTTCACTCCCATCTTTTTGTGGGTTCTTTCACTCCAGAATCCATTTAGAGGCTTGATTTAATATCATTTATGAAGGAAACTGGGGAAAGCTTGCGCAGCTTTCTGGCTTCTCTCCTCCATCTTCCACTATTTGTTTTTCCAAAGATTTCTAAGTAGCCAGCATTTTACAGAGAAAAAATATTAAATATTCCCCCAAAGTTTCAAAAAAGGAATCATTGGCAGAAGTCAGTCACCACATAACTTAGATTCTTGATTAATTCTTTCCTGAATGTTGATTCTAAAAGATAGACTTAGGTCATAAAATCAAACTCATAAGAAAGAGCTAAGAAAAACTTGAGAGATCATGCAATAAACCTTTTTTTCATTTTATGGACATGGAAACTGAGCCCCATGGGACTAAAGTAGCTTGCCCAAAGTTGTAGAGCTAACAAGAAGCAGAGTTGAGAATAGAACTCAGGTCTTGTGGGTTCCTAAGCAGTGCCATAGAATTGTACCTGGCTGGTCACATTTAATGGTTTCTTGAAGGAAAGTAAGGAGTGCAATTCCATCAGCTAAATTACCAAGCGTTTCAGAGGGCTGGATTTCAAGATAAGAAATGCACAGAAGGATGCTGTTAATTCTAATCCCACATTTGTAACTGTTTGATGGACGGTTCTAGTTGGATTGAAGATACTTGAACTGGACTAAATTCTCATACAAGGAGAAAAATAGGAAAATTCTTTCCAGGTGGGAGAAATATCTTATGGAAAATTAATGGGACAAGAAAGGGCAAAATATTTTAAAGTGATTGGTCATATGGCAAGCTAGGTGGCACAGTGGATAGAATGTGGGCCAGAAATCAGGAGGACTCAATCTTCCTGTGTTCAAATCTGGCTTCAGATGCTTAATAGCTGTGTGACCCTGGGCAAGTCATTTAACCCTGTTTGCCTCAGTTCCTCATCTGTAAAATGGAACTGGATAAGGAAATTGCAAACCACTCCAGTATCTTTGCCCAAAAAACCCAAATGGGGTCATGAAGCATCAGACATGACTGAACAATAACAACAGTATGTGGCAAGACCAAGATACACACTCTGTGTACGGCTTGCCTGCTCCACTATTGCTCTCACTTTGTCAAGAGAACGTGGTGAATATTCCCGGCATTTTGGGTGAATTTCCTATGGTGAATTTATAGGTGGACGCATACAAATGTAATATGGGTTCAGCAGGTACAGGTGGGTTGTAATCTGCGTTATTGGAAGAAATAGTCATGTTGACAAAGTCACAGAGTCTTTGATGTATTGAAATGAGACCACTTTGGGTGGACAAGAAAGTTTGAGTGGATAAGTAGTCAGTGATAAGTCTAGAAGGATAGGTTGGCTTGTGGACTTTAGAGGGAAGGACTTAAATGCCATGCTGAGAAGTTAGGATCTTGTCTTGTGTACAGTAAATGGCATTTTAATGCGTTGGAAATTTTTTGCCAAGAGTGTGACATAGAACATAAAAAAAATGCAGAGTTAGAAGCACCTTTATGGTCCTGTAAGTTAGTATCCTTATATGGCAGACTAAAAAATTTGAAGAATTTGTTATTAATTATGGAACTCTACTTAAAGTTATCTGAATAACAACAATGGTTTTGGACCTGAAGAGTATTGGTGACATGGATTATTCAGGCAGACTATGGAAATGCTTCTCTGAAAAACTTTAAAAGTAGAATAGCATTTCCTCAATCTTCAAGTGTTTAGTTATTTTACAATAAAGTGTATTAGCACTAGTACTATTAAACACAATTTACTTAATACTGAGATGACCTCTTGGGATCTCTAGTATAGTAGTACTATGATTTTGTTTTTCTTTTAAGATACATTTTTCCTGATTAAAAATGTTTTTAGCTCTGCTCATATAGTAAAATATTACTCAGGACTGCATTTTTTCATTTGTATTTTCAGCTTTAAATGGGTTAAGTGAAGTGAATAGGTCTCTAGCAGAATACTGCCAACAAAAAATGCCCAATGATTTTATACCTGAAATTGGAGAGCCTTGTTGCGCTTATTTTACAGGTGAGACACCATGATGTATTCTTGACTTCGTCAGAACCTCTGTTCTTTGTACCTTTTTTGCCTTTTTACTAAAAGTATCCTTTTTAGGCCATAAATTGAGCTGTCTTTTTGACATGAACTTTCTCTTCATTTCTTCTCAGACTCTTCAGATAAAACTTCCTTTTCCTGGATAAATTTGTTGAATATTATTTAAGTGCTTTTTCTTTTTAGAGCCTCTGTTAATATGTGTGAACTTCTGCTAGAGTAGGTTGTTCTTTACCTTTTTATGCTTTGGACCTTTTTGTCCATCTGGTGAAATATATGGACCCCTTCTCAGAATAATTATTTTAAATACATAAAATGAAATATGAAAGACGACAAAGGAAACCAATTATATTTAAATAGTTATTAAAATATTAACTTCATGGGTACCAGGTTCAGAACCCTTACTTACTTAAGGGTAAGTTTTAATTGAAAGACTAGCTGAATTCAATTTTTTGTGGTTTAAACACATGTCATCTGTTATAAATGCTATTTTGAAAATATTCCAGAAAAATAAAATACTAAGTAAAAGACTAAAAAGGAAGAAGAAGAAAAAATCTGGGGATACAAAAAAAAGAAAAGAAAATGTTCCAAGTGAAATTTGAATTTAGGAATGAGTTTGCTTGCTATTATTTTATACCATCATTTTATTGTTTGTCACATAAAACAGGATCTGAGATCAATAGTAATAAAGGTAAATTATTGCTAATTATTTTATGATTTTTATCAAACTTTAAAATCTTAGCTATAGTTAAACATTTATTTAGTAGATAGATTGTGTATATAACCTTTATCTTATGTAAAATACCTTCCTAGAATAACTTGTAGTCCCTTAAGAGAGTAGGGCTAATGACTATCTAAAGGGCAGCTATGTGGCATAGTGATTAGAATGCCAGGTGTGAAGTCGGGAAGCACTCACCTTCCTGAGTTCAAATCTGGCCTCAGACACTTAGTAGCAGTGTGACCCTGGGCAAGTCACTTACCCCTGTTTGCCTCAGTTTCCTCATCTGTAAAATGAGCTGGAGAAGGAAATGACAAATCATTCTAGGATCTTTGTCAAGAAAACCCCAAATGGGGTCATAAAGAGTTGAACATTATTGAAAAATGACTGCAAAACAACAACAGATTACTTGAATCTGGTAGCAGTGAAAGAAAGCAAAGTGTACAGTTCACTTAACAAAAAAGGTTAACTTACATACTACTGTCAATATGTAGCAAGCTGAAGGAAAAAAACAGTATTTTGTCATAATTCATTATGTAAATTCTAGGTGATGGTAATTGGTATCGTGCTTTAGTAAAGGAGATATTACCAAATGCAGCTGTTAAAGTGCACTTTGTGGATTATGGAAACATTGAAGAGGTTACTACAGATAAACTTAGAAAGATGTCATCCAGGTTCTTAAAACTTCCATTTCAAGGAATCCGATGCTGGCTAGTAGGTATGTTGGGGAATATAACATTATTTTACTAATAAAAGTATTTAGAAAGCTCTGATTATTAAACAATATTAAATGTAAAGGCTTTTCACATTTAAATTTTTTTTTTTGGTTCAGATACTTCCATTAAAATAGAAAATACTATTTCTCATCATGAAATCTTGAGAAATAAGTATTTTAAACACTGGCTCAAGTAGTCACACCAATTTGTAAAATAAAAAAAAAGTAATTTTGAATAAGCTGAGTAATTTAAAATTATTTGGGAAGAAGATTAAATAATGTTAAATTTAACCACAGAAATAAGAAAGTACCTTTTGACATTTGTAGCTATCATAATTTTAAAACTTTTAAAAATCTTACATGTGTGCCACTATGACTTGGTAAACATTGATGTAGTATTTGAAGGAATGTTTTTAATTTTTGAAAGGAATTTGCAAATTGGAAAGATGCTAAAGCACAATTCTGTTCTTTAGTTTTATAAATCTTTTTTTTTTTTGGGCAAATGTGGCCTTCATCCCTAGGGATAAAAGGCACAATTGATTGAAAATTGTTAGCCTAAGCTAAGCAAGAAGGACCAAAGACCTTTAGTAGGACATATGATGCACTAATAGATGATAAAAGACAATTTCTTCTGGAAATTCTGTTAATGAAATTTTGTTGTTCTCCAGATATAAAACCTAGAAACAAGCATTGGAGTAAAGAAGCCACAGCAAGATTTCAGACGTGTGTTGCAGGAATAAAACTTCAGGCTAAAGTAGTGGATCTCACAGACAACGGTGCTGGAGTTGAACTCACCAACTTTTCTACTGCTTATCCAAAAGTTATAAGTGAGATACTTATTGACGAACATTTGGCTTTAAAAGATGAACCACCATGTAAAGATGCACAAAATGATAAATCTGTTAGTAAAATTGACTTGCCGTTTGATCTTGATGTGCTTCAAGGTAAGACTTCATTTCAAAATGTATTTGTTGTAATAAAACATTTCTTTATAAATATAGATTTTGGGGCTCAGTTAGGTGGAGCAGTGGATAGAGCACTGGCCCTGAGGTCAGGGGGGCCTGAGTTCAAATGTGGCCTGAGACACATAACATTTATTAGTTGTGTGACTCTGGGCAAGTCACTTAACCCCCAATTGCCTCCCCCACTGCCCCCCCCCCAATTTAGGATTTCCTCTTCCAAGTCGACATAATTTTCCAATAGCAATTTAATTCAGTGAACATGTGTTTGTATTGTATACAAAGCACTGTGCTTTGTTTAGTTTAGAATCTTATATGACCTTTCAGAAAATGAATTCTGTATTGGATCCAAGCGTCAGTGATTTTGTTGGTACCTATTAATTGTTGAAATGCTATAAGAAACCACTTTGTCGAAAATTAATATTATATATGGGGCAGCGAGGTGACACAATGGATAGAGTGCTGAGCCTGGAGTCTGGAAGACCTGAGTTCAGATGTGGCCTCAGGCATTTAATAGCTATGTGACTCTGGACAAGTCAGTTAACCCTGTTTGCCTCAGTTTCCTCATCTGTCAAATGAGCTAGAGAAGGAAATGGCAAACCACTCCAGTATCTTTGCCCAAGAAAGCCATAAATGGGGTTACAAAGAGTTGGGCATAACTGAATAACAAGAACATGATGTACATTTCTAATGTAATTTTCCTTAAAAGTATGATAATAGCTAACATTTATGCAGCACTTGAAAATATACACACAACAACAACAGCCCTTTGAAATCAATAGGTTAGGGATAGAGACTAGACCTGAGATTTCATTGTTATGGGAAACTCCCTGGTAAGGAAATTTCCTCTATTTATGCAAGTTGGCATCTTCTCTATAACTTAGAGTCTTACATAGAGTTGCCTACAACATGGACAGTTTAAATGACTTTCCTTTGGTCACACAGTTAGTACATGTGTCAGAATTAGATTTGGAACCCAGATCTTCCTGGCTTCAAGGCTAGTTCTGTAGCCACTCAGTTACAATGATTTGGAGATAAGTACTTCAAATATTATCTCCACTTTGTGGATAAGGAGATATAGGTTGCAAAAGGCGAATTGATTTGCTTATGGTCGACATAGCTCATGTATCAGATTCAAAATTTTCATCCAATTCCTTCCAACTCCAGGTCCAGCATTTTACTAAACCATGCTATTTCTTGTTTCATTCCATTTTGTGCAGGAGATCTGTTGCTGTAAAGTTTGTATTGATTAAATTTTTAGAAAGTAAAATACTATTTTAAGTATACTAGGGGAGTTTGATATTTAAAGAAATTGTAGTGTAATATATAGATTCTTTTGTAAAGTATGCAGTTAAGTTTTGTGAAGTCCTGATTTTTATGGATTGAATTGGCTATATCAGGTATGCCTGTGTTTTAAATTTGACCTATCTGTTCTCTAGTTTGAATTTAAAGGTATGTAATTATTTCCTGTTCTGCCATTTGCCTCTGTGTATAATGTTGGCTGTTAGCTTTTTGCTATTCTAGATGGTGGCTGTTCTCTATTCATATATCCTATGAAGACAAAAATTTTGGTTTCCTTAAAAACTTAGCTCAAGGCTTTTTCTTTTCTCCCTCTCCATATCACCTTATATATATTTTGTATCTGCTTATGGTTGCATGTATATATCTATATATATCTATCTCTATCACTGTCTACATATATGATAAATTGGACATAATTCCAGAGGGAAGGTACTAACATTAAGAGTTGTCAGGAAAGGCTTCTTGCAAAAGATGGAAGTTTAGCTCAGACATGGAGGAAGCCAAGAGGTGGACACAAGGTGGGGGGGGGGAGAGAGACAGAGAGAATGACAGTGAGAATGAATTCCAGGCCTGGGCAACACTATTGAAAATGCAGAGTTGGGAAATGAAATGCCTTGTGTGAAGAACATCAAGGAATATTAAGGCTAGTATCACTAGATCCCAAAGTATGTGGAGGGGAGTAAAGTATAATAATACTGTAAAGGTAGGAAGGGGCCAAGCTTTGGAGGGCTTTACAAGACTAGGATTTTATATTTGATCTTGGAAGGTATAATAGAGAGCCAGGAATTTATTGAATAGGGACATGACATGGTCAGACTCGAGCTTTGGGAAGATCAATCTGACAGGTGAGTGCAGGATGGACTAGAATAGGAAGACACTTAAGTCCAGCAGACTACCCAAAAGACTCTCGAAATAGGCCAGGTATGAAGGCATGAGGACTTGCACTGTGGTGATGGCAATGTCAGATGTCACCAAGGTTAAAACAACAAGATTTGGCAACTGATTGGTTATGAAGATGAGAGAGTAAGGAGTCAAGGACGACTCTAGATTGCAAGCCCAGGTGACTAAGAGGATTGTGGTACCCTTACCAGTGGTAGCTAAGTTGGGGAAAAGGGACAGTTTGGGGGCAAAGATATGAAGGTGTCTGAGAGACATCCGTTTCAGGATGTCCAGTGAGGAGCTGGAGATGTGATACTGAGAGGTCAGAAGAGAGGTCAGTGCTGCACAAATAGATATTTCCTTTTTGTCTTAGCATGCATGATGTCTGATGCACAGTAGGCACTTAATCAGTTCTTGATTCCCTATCACTCCTGTCTCTTTTGGAAGATTGTCAGCTTTTTCTTCCCCTCTTCTCCTCTAAATTTTGATAGCTCCCTGTCTGCTGGTTCGTGCTACACTGCCAGATAGGGCTGGGTCTCCCCTATCCTTAAGAAATTGTTATTTGACTTAATCCTCTCAAACTTAAATACTATGTGTCTCCCCTTCACAGCCAAACTAGAAAAGTTATAATCTTAACTTTAATTTCACTACTTCTCCTCACTTTTTAAATTTTTCATTCTGAACTTAAACACAAAAAATGAACATTTTCATATTTACAACAAAGCACAAAAAGATTACATATAAAACTGTAGATCTCCATTTCATGCTGTTTTTTTTAAATTTATGTAATAAATTCACCTTATTTTCAAAACCATCCTGTTTGTATGTGTTCTCCTCTGAACTTCATTCCATTCTTCTCTAGCATTTTAAAAATGTTTCAGTGGTCTTTTTTTCCCCTCTCATCACTTTTGCTAACCCCTCCCCATCACTATTAAAAACAGGAAAATAAAAAGCACCTTGTAACAAGTAAGCATAGCCAAGCAAAACAAATCTATATCTTGATCATGATTTTTCTGCACTGAGTCCATCACCTCTGTCACGAGTTGTATGACATGCTGCAACATAGGCCCTCTGGAAACATGGTTGGGTATTGCTTTGATCAAATTCTTTAAGTCTTTCAAAAAAATTTTTTTGTGCTTTTAAAAATTGTTCTCCTGGTTCTGCTCACTTCACTTAGTATCAGTTCATACAAGTCCAGGTTTCTCAGAAACCATCACTTTCATTGTTTCTTACAGTGCTGTAATATTCCATTACATTCATATACCACAGTTTGTTCAGCCATTCCCTAATTAATAGGTATTCTATTGATTTCCAGTTCTTTGCTTTTTCTTCTTCCTTTTAATTCTCCCTTTGGGATCAAGATATTTGTTTTGCCTGTAACTTTCTGGTATCATTCTCCCTCTCAACACCTTCCATGCCTTTCCTGACATGTTTCCCTGTTAATGTATTTTCTTTTCTTTTCTTTTTTTTGTTAGGCAGTTGGGATTAAGTGACTTGCCCAGGGTCACACAGCTAGTGAGTACTATGTGTCTGAGGCCAGATTTGAACTCAGGTTCTCCTGACTCCAGCAGCAGTGCTCTATCCACTGCACCACCTAGCTGCCCCATTAATATTTTCTACACCAAAGTCTTGAGTCTGCTCAGTCCTCATTTTTCCAATTCATAAATTCCTTTTTCTCATGCATCCCAATTATGATATCAGGTTCCACTTCTTTCTTCCTCTTTTATACACTAGTTTATTCCTTTTGTCCTCCCTTCTTTTTCCCTTTTGAAAACCCACAAAATAAGATTTCATTTTTTTTTTCAAAGAGCAAAAATCTGCCTTTCTACTCTAACCACCTTCTCTTCTCAGCCTGCATTGAGAAAGGGGAAAAAGTCCCTATTACAACTATGTATAGTGAAGCAAAACAAATGCCCATGTTGGTCATATCAAAAAAAAAAATCTTATTTTGTGCTGAGTCCTTCACCTCTCTATCAGAAAGTGTGAAGCATGTTTCATCATTTGTCCTCTGGAATTGTGGTTGGTCGTTATACTGATCAGAATTCCTAAGGCTTTCATAGTTGTATATTTTTACCATATTATTATCATTGTATAAACTGTTTTTGGTACTGTTCAGTTTTACTCTGCATCAGCTTATATAAATAAGTCTTCCCAAGTTTCTCTGAAATCATTCCTTTGATCATTGCTTACAGCACCAATAACATTCAATTACACTTATATACCATAACTTCTTCCAGTGTTCTCCTTTCATTTTAAAAATACACTTATTTATTTATTTTTAGTGTCAACATTCACTTCCATAAGATTTTTTTTATTTTTAATTTTTTTCCATAAGATTTTGAATTTCAGATTTTCTCCCCATCTCTCCCCTCACCATAAGATGGCATGTAAATTGATATAGGCTCAACATATACATTCATATTAAACCTATTTTCACATTAGTCATGTTGTAAAGAAGAATTAGAACCAATGGGAGAAGCCATGAGAAAGAACAAAAAAAAAAGAGAGCAAATAATATGCTTCCATTTGCATTCAGATTCTATAGTTCTTTTTCTGGATGTGGATAGTATTTTCCATCATGAGTCTTTTGGACTTGTCTTAAATCCTTGCATTGCTAAGAAGAGTTGAGTCTGTCAAAGTTAGTCATTGCACAGTGTGGCTGTTACTGTGTACACTGTTCTGCTGGTTCTGTTCACTTCACTCGGCATCAGTTCATATGAGTTTTTCCAGGTTTTCCTGAAGTCTGCCTACTCATCATTTCTTAATGCACAGTAGTATTCATATATCACAACTTGTTCAGCCAT